TTACACCTACCTCGGGGCTGGGAATTAAGCTCAGTGGTTCCGCCGCCTACCTCACAAGCCCAAAGTCCCGAGTTCGATCCTGGGTACCCAGAAAAATAAAGACCAAAACAAAACAAATTACACCTTCCTGCAGACTCTCTGATGACCCTTACTAACAAGTTAAGAGTAGCATTTGCTCCTGCCGGATCGTGAGTTAAGACTTGGCTTGGAGCTGAAAGATTGTGAGAAAATCACGACCTGATATCCCTGCTCCTTCTGTCCAGCAGGACCTGCGTGCACAGGCATGCCCCAGCCGCCCAGGTGCAAAGTACACTGCTCAGATACAGACCAGAGAAGGCAGGCACAGGGGAGCGCAGGTCAGAGCAGTTCAGGTGCAAGTTAGAGAGCCCAGGTGCAAATGGGAATGCACAGGTGCAAGTCATCGGCTTTATAGGGAAAGGGAAGGAGACGCTGCCAGAGGGCCCTGCAGGGGTCCCGGTCTCCTGCCAGCCAGCGATGTCCATGAGATAGGAAAGCGGGGATGAAAAGAAGCACAGACAGAGACTTGAGAGAAGCCGAGTCCTGGGCTGATCTCAGCTGCTCTGCGCAGCAAGGACAAAGGACTCCAGGACATTACGAGTGTGGGAGCGGGGGAAGCTGGGCAGGCCTTGGAGCCCGCTGATAAGGACCAAGCAGGCGGGACCGTAGAATGAGGGCTCAGCATGTCTGTGCTGAGAGAACAAACGGTGACTTCGGAGGGGAGGATTTAGCTGGAGTCAGTTGACCTTGGCTGGGAGTGAACTCAGCCAAGCCTGCTACTTCCAGGGTGACACAGCCGAATTACAGAGGGACAGGAAGCCTGTGCCGCCATGGCCTGCTTATCCTGGGCACAGGTGTCTGCCACATCAGCTCAGGTATAAGCGAGAGCAAGTCCAGTGCAAGGCAGAGGAGCTCAGGTCCACACTAGAGGACTCAGGCTCAGGTCGCAGTGGCTGAGGCGCAGGCTGCAGCCAGAAGGCCGGTGCAGTGCCCCACACACCTGTCCCGTTCACACTGAACACAGGGTGGGGTGATGGCTGTGTCTGCCCTGCTCTCTGCAAACACAGACGAACACGAAGACACGGTGCCCAGGCCTGAGAGGCAGCGGGGTGGACAAGGGCCGGCCTCTCCTTCCTCCAAACTCCTGTGACCCCCAGGCCAGCGTGGACCCCAGGGATGGATTCCAGGGCTCCGAGGCCCAGCCCCCATCTGGCGAGGGCAGTGTGAGCCATTCTACACCGTGCCCCCTCTGGTTTCCAGCATGCCAGTGAGCTCAGGACAGCTCCAGATGTGAACCCCCAGGCCGTGCCCTGGATGCCAGTCCACAAGAGAGTGGGAGAGTCCCGAGGCAGGGGTGTCGGGTGGATCCTCGGTTCTCTGGAGTAGCACTTGCTTTATTGGGAACTCCTGTACCTGGATTTCATGTCCCGCATCCAAAGCCCAGCAGTGCAATGTTCAGCACCAACTATAAATCCTTCTGGATGTTACTGAGGAAGAAGTGAGTCGGGCGTCCTTTCAAGTGGGAGAGCCCTTCCTTCTCATCCCATCGGCTGCACCCCCCCATGGGCTGCCCCCCAGGACGGAGGCGATTTCCACGTTCAGCAGTACATTGGACCGCTGTGGCTCTGAAGAGTGGTCCAGAGGTCTAGCGGCGGTCAGACCCAGCCCTACAGCCAGCCTGCTGAGGCACGAGTTGCTGGCCCGAGCTTCTCTGGGAGCCTCTGCAATCTGGGTGCGATGACAATCACCTTTACTCAGGGTCAAGCTAGCTCCCACACTAGTTCACTTAGTCCTAACAAGGCCTCACAGAGGAGAGTTACCACCAAAACCCATTTTACAGATGGGGAGACTGAGGCAATGGCGTGCTCATTAGTTGGCCAGGGTCTCACGGCCAGGCATGGAATGGACAGTCTGCGGGGTCCCCCTCCAGCAGGACTGTCTGAGAGGTGGCAGGGAAGTGCCTGGGGATCCAGGAACTCCAGAGCCCTCTGTCATCCTCCTGTGGCTTCTGCTCGGGGCTTGTGACTACCACACACCATCTTGTCCGAGGTGGGTGTGGCGTGGCTGTGTGGGCTCCTGAGATGGCCTGAGAGTTTTGTGGATTTGACCCTGTTCCGACGGGATAAGTGGCCTTCGTTGTGTGGTGGGAGGCGAGTGAGTGCCCGGCGGCGGAGCCGCACCCTCCCCACGGAGGTCGCACGTGTGCCTCGAGCTGGGCGGGTGCTGTGCCTGCAGTACCAGTTTGCACTGGGAGATGGCGCCCTTCCCCAGGAGTTGGAGTTTGAGGGCCTCCAAGCCAGGGCAAACAAGCTGCAAGGACTTCACCAGCTGGCCGGCCGCATCCCGGCGCCAGGCCAGGATCCTCCCGGCTGTCACCAAGTCCTGTGAGGCCCCGAGCGAGACCGAGCACGGGGAGGGAAAAACTCCGGCGAGATGCTCGCCCCGAGGCTCCCGGGCGGGCCCCGGGGACCCTCCTGCCCCAGCCTCTCCTTCCTCTCGGTGGACAGGACGCGGTGTCCGGGGCAGGGGGCAGCGCAGGGGGCGATCGGCGTCTCCGGGCCCCAGCAGCCCCGCGTTTAACGGATGCTAACGGAAAGGCTTCGG